CATCAGATTATCTATTAGAATACTGGTCCGTTCTTCTAGGGAAGAGTCAGCGGTCAATCTGTCTCTGACTACTGAGAGTGCCTCCTCCGTGGGTACCTTGGTGAACAAACTCACCACGTCCAAGCTCACCATCTGGTTGGATAGGATGGGAGCATCTTTGATTATTTCCACGAAGTGGGCGGAGTTTCGGACATGTGAAGGAGACTTTCAGATCAATGAGTCAATTATATCTACAAGGAAGCGACTCAGAGGGTGGCACACAGAGCCTTGGCAACTAACAATCGGCCTGAGTAGAATACCGTCATTGTGAATCTTAGGGAGACCGTATATGTGAGGTAGCTTGGTGTAACGCTGCGATAACTGCCTATACGTCTTAGGTGCAAAGTGATCCTTGTTCTTGATTAGGGTCTGTGACAGTTTGCGTTCCTTTTTCATAGTAGGATCCTTTTTCACTTTGCTGTAGCTACCATTGCTAATGAGGTCTTCCAGTTTTCTTGTATACTCTGATTTGTCCATCACTACAGTCGCATTACCTTTGCCAGCCGGTAGTATGATGATGTTTTCGTTCCTCTGTACGGATTCAATCGCCAGTCTCTCCAGTTTTGTTATGTTAGACCTGGGCAGCTTGGCTCTCTCCAAGGCCTGTCTTACTTTCCATCTTAGTTCATCCGCCTGAGCCTGAGGGAAGTTCAAGGCCACCTCCTCGACTCTGGCAATGATGTTCAAGTATGGCACCCGCCTGATGGTTGTGGCGAAGTCCAACCACCTGAAGAAAGCCGGAGCGTACAACGGCCGAAACTTTGTGACAAATATGGCGACATAGATGAGGACAATAGTCCGACTAATGTAAAGACTGTACATAATACCTCATCTCAGAAATATAGACAGAGTCTTCTCATGGAACGTTGAAAGTATTTTGTCTGTTCTGTAACCTTGTGCAAACGAAATAATTAAGGCGCTTAAGATCTGAAGACGGCTCCCCCTAGCGGACCCATCTTCGAATCCTGATGGAAGGCGTATATTTTTCTAACAAGATTTCGGAAATATTCACGCCGGTAGATGTAAATGAATAAATAAACTGTTTAATAAATAAATAAAAACAGAACATCTACTCAAATATGTGCATCCATTTAAAATAACGTTTAAACAAATAAATGAAAAATATATCGTATTTAATCGTTTTCCTTAATAATTATCTTTGTTTACGTTACGATATGAAAGAGAGTATATATATATATATATATATATATATATATATATATATATATATATATATATTATAAATTAATTGATTTAAAATATGGTTTTTTCCGCTACACAGTTCCAACCATGTTTCAAAAATAGAAGCTAAAAACCCCAATTTAATTTTGCAATTAAATTAAAAGCATTAGTTCCATTTCATCTTCAAGCGAATTTTGGTGTAACTTTTAAAAATTACCGGGTTTTAAAGACACAGCTAAAATCACGTTTCCATGGTTACAGAATATTCTACTTAAATTGAACAAGGGATGTCTAGATTTTCCTTATGTCAGTATCATTGTATCAGTTATTAGCTACAATTTGGTAAGGGTAGGGATGTATTTTACAATGAAACCTAACATCAGTTGAATGGATGTGGTCTGGATTTAAAAAAAAAAAAAAAATTAACGGTAAAAAAATTCAACGTCATTTTTTAAATTTAAAGATTTTCGGGGTTTTTTTTTCCTAATACTTTTTATTTAACTACGATTTGAAATATTCTCCTTTTTAATTTTTATTATACTATATTCTTTTTAAGAACAGTTAAATGTATTAGAATCCATTATATTTTGTAGGATTATATTAACATCAAGTTTAAGTATGTATATGAGGTACATTTTCTTTTTTAAATTTATGACTATGACGGCAAAAATGGTTACTTAATTTCACTGATTTAGTAAACATTGAGCACTATTTTGTAAAAATAAAAATATCTATAAGAACACCGGATTTTATATCTTACTGTTCTTTCTTTTTTTTTATATATATATATATATATATATATATATATATATATATATATATATATATTTCGATAAAGTTATGTGTTCAAAAAAGTTATGTTCAAAAGCTCCATTCGGGCTTTGTTTGAGCTTCTTCTATATGCCGTGTCCCTTCAGAACGTTGGCGAACATGGCTCTCCACCTCTCCCTATCCCTTGTAATTCTCAATATGTTTTGTCCTTTTGTTACTGTTCTGTCATACACTTGCTTAAGCCCGCTAGTTATGTCACACGTTGCTTTCCCTTGTCTTTCTTTCTCTCTACACGCACTATGAGTATCAGATTCTCCAAGCATTCCTTTCTCGATACGTTCCCAGAAATTTATACTACCCCTTTCTGATGCTAAGTATAGACTTCCTCCTTGTTTGTATCCTCTCCAAAACCCCGTCTTTGCTCACTTGTTCGGTGCATGGTATACTTAGCATCCTTCTGCAGAACCATATCTCCGTTGTCTCGAGTCTCTTCTTCATCTTTGAGGAGACCGTCTAACATTCGCTGACGTAAAGGATGACATATCCCGTTACCAAAGAAATCCTCCTGTCTTGAAAGAAAGTGCTGTTCGATAAAAGGGATTCACCTGACTTTTTTTTACTAAATGTTCTCTTCTCCGATGAAACGAAAGTTGAGCTAAATTCAAAGGATAAGCGATCTAAAATCCGAAGAAAAAGCTTTGAAAGCTCTTTGAATTTAGCAGTAAGTACTGTCAAGCATCCGTTCAGTATAATATTTCGGGGATGCTTTTCTTGTCATGGAACTGGTTTCTTAAAACCTATTGAAAAGATCCTCAGGAGTGAGCAGTACAAGAGAATTTTAGAGTCTTGTCTGCTCCGTTCTGCTGAAAGGGTGCAAATCGACCCCACCAAATTATTTTTATGCAGGATAATGCTCCCTGTCACAAATCAAAATTAATGAAGGAATACTTTGATGAGAAGCAGGTGAGTGTTATGACATGGGCGCCCCAATCTCCTGACCTCAACCCCATAGAAAACTTATGGAGCATGTTGCTCAACTGATTTCTCGAAAGTCTGTACTTTATAATGCTCCATAAGTTTTCTATGGGGTTGAGGTCTGGAGATTGTGGCGGCCATCTCATAACACTCACCTGCTCTCTGATTTATTGTCTGATTTACTAAATGTCGCTTATTTTGTGAAAAAAAAAACCTGTACGGTGTGAACTCACTACTCAGTCGTAAATTTTTGAGAGACCAATTTACAAACGAGTAAACGAGAACGAAACACACTTTATCCTTTCTTATAGTTATTTTCCAAGCGTAGCTTAGATGTGGCACAAGGCCGAAAATATGGGGGACCCAGTGAGGATCGAACTCACTACTCAATCGTAGTGTCCCGTTATCCTTTTTTGTATATTAAATTAAAAAAAAAACGCCCTGTCGCAATTAAACATGTTGAAGAAACAAATGCCTCTTTAGTCTTAATTGGTTTAAATCGAGATAACATTTTCCTATATTCTCGATAAATTAATTCCTTCTATTTGACAAATTATTTTATCCCTCGAGTGTAAAATCTTGCAAAGAAACACTCAGCAGCCGTTTTAACTTCTTCAAAATTAATAAACTGTGTTCCCTCCAATAAAATTGGCAATGATCAGAAAAGATGATAAATTGATGGAAAATCAAACATATGAAGATGTTTCAAAATTTCTATATTTAGAGCCAGAATAATTTGCTAATTTAATCGAGCAATATATAGTATTTTTTTTATTATCGTGTAAGAACTAACATGCTTTTGTGATTATCCATTGAGAGACACTTTTCCTTCAAATCTTCTGTTGCCTTGCTTCCAGTCGATGACAGTACATATCCGTATAAAGTGTTTCATTTTAGTTTAACACGTTACCATTATAGACAACATTTGTATCACACTAAAACCAAAGTGATAACTTTTTCGGATGTAGTCCTGGTTTTAGTACGCATTTTTTTTCAGTAGGTAATAACCATTTTTTTTCGTTGGATAGAATTATATAAACCCCAGTTATTTTTTATTCTGGTGATGATTCTATCCACGAAAGTTTCGATAACAAAACGAATCTTCAATAACGTGGAGGAGATAAGTCTTTGTTTAAGCTGAGAAACATGGAGCTTAATACAGCTTTGACACTGATTTCAAGAAATAACTTGAAATTTTTTTACCTATTCTTGTACAGTTTTCCTTAATTACGATTTGCAGAAGCTTAATGTTGGTCGTCCAAATCGAGAGGATTCTTCCAGTGACCAATTTTCCAAAACGAAACTGGCCAAAGCGTCGTTGTTACGTCCTGATACTTAAAGCTACATGTCCATAAACGAAACGAATATTTCTTCACAATTCCGTTTCTGGAGAGACATTTTTGAATCCCCACTAAATACCGTGTCTGATATGGTTCAGATTTAAACTTATTTTAAAAGGGTAAAATTGAAAATTTACCCACTCTGATATTATATCATCTATAACAAAAAAAAGAAAAAAATAGATAAATGAAAATGACTAATATTCATTTACTGTAACATTCGAAATATTACTCCCAAAGTGATCATGTTAAAAATGCAGTACGTCCTTTTCCCAATCTACTGTATATATTATGAAAAAATCGTTTGTTTATTGAACTGTTACTAATATCATGTAACTCATAGCAATCTGTCTTATTAATGGAGAGTCAGCGACCAGACAGGCTCCAACATCCTACCAGGCTTTTGATGAAGAGGATGATGAAAAACCCAGAAGTAATAAATATAAGACCGCTCAAATGACGAAAGTGATCTTTTGAAAGATTAAATAGAATTGGTGTCTCTAGAGAAAACGCTATCATGTCTTCGATTGTGTTGACTATTAGCTTCTCATAATATATGTCTAATTCATGGAAAATATACATTGTGAAAAGAACCTATGGCTCTAAGTGTCTGGTGTGTGAAGAAGATTAATTGAATGATTTTCCCGTTACAAGTCTTACTATTTAATCCGTAGATGGCGGGAGAAGATGGATTCATACATTTACAAAAAGAGTTTGCGCGTAAGTGAATGGAAACGAAATTGAAGATGAAGAAGGAAATTGAGGTGGAGGAGGAGGAAAAGTATATGTAGATCGAGGGTAAGAAGAAGAAGAAGAAGAAGAAGAAGAAGAAGAAGAAGAAGAAGAAGAAGAAGAAGAAGGACGAGAGGAAAGAGAACAGGAAGATGGAGAAGAAGGACGAGGAAGAGGAATAGGAGGAGGATGACAAGAAGTAGAGGAAGAAAAAAGAAGAGGAGGAGAAATAATGAGGAGGAGAAGGGCGAAGAGAAGAAGAAGAAGAAAAAAGACGAGACGGAAGAGAAGAACAAGAAGATAGAGAAGGAGGAGGAGGAAGAGGAAGAGGAGGATGATGTCAAGAAGTAGAGGAAGAAAAAGGAAGAGGAGGAGAAATAGCAAGGAGGAGAAGGGCGAAAAGAAGAAGAAGAAGAAGAAGAAGAAGAAGAAGAAGAAGAAGTAATAATTATAAAAGATCATTTCCTGAACAATATGGAAGCTCAATATAATGTCTTTTAGAATAGCTTTTTATGTGCACATTAAAAAACAACAACAAAAAAAAAACAGAGATCTATCTAATGAAAAGTCGCTCAAAACTTCTATCAGGACTTTACTTTCTTCGTTTGTGTCTTGAAAACAGAAGAATCACGCGACAGCCAATTTCCAACTAAAAAAATTTCAATCGAGAATAAATTTGAAAAATAAATTTTTTTTTTTACCAGAATCTTTATCAGCATTTCTTGTAAACTGCATAATTTATTACAGAGTGTTTTTCTACAGATATTCATTCTTAATGCTATAAATGAGATATTTGCGTGATTAGCTCAAAGACTGTCAAGAGAAATGTTTTTTTTTTATCAAGTGATAACGAAACAAGATTCATGTTAGGCCTTTTTATTAGAAAGGTTTTCGAGGTTTTTTGAGTTAATATTTTATTCGTGTTCATATGAGAGGAAAAGAAATTAAAGTAAATATCCTGTATTTTTTTTTTTTTTTGTAAAACGTACAAGCTGTTACTTATTCTCTAATTATTATTTTCAGTATTTCACGATAATCTGAACCTACAGATAGTGTTATACATATATTGGTTTTATTTATCTTAATTTGGGAGATGAATTTAAATCTGTTTCCAAATTTTTTAGCAAGATTGCTTACTAATGTTTTTCTTCATATTTTATAACACAAAAGTAACTCCAAACAGATAGCTGAAATTTTGTTCTAAAAACAAAACGACCAATGATTTATTGCTAATTTTCTTGTCACCTACCATGTCTACAGTGGCTCATTAGTCCAGTGAGTGAGCTACACATGTGACCACATGTTTTACAAGCAAGCTTACCACTTACCGTGATGGCAGCACCTGCAATGCTGGATAAGTTCGCTCCCTGAAGTACACACAGTGTTGCATGGATTGTAAGTAAAATCAGGCTGGACACAATAGCGATACAAAAGTGTTGCCATTGTGACGACGTTTCTGACTAATATAGCTGATATGTCCCGGAAAGGGATAGATTTGTTCGAAGTATCAAAGTGGTTGTTGACTACTGTAACTAAGTAGGACAATCTAGCAGGTAACCGTAATGGACTGGTCCTTGTCGTAGTGGTAGGCAATAAGCGAAGACAATAGGCGTAGTCAATAAGCGTAGACAATAGGCGTAGTCCATGTACCTTCACATCAGTCTGTATTTATGGCTGACACCAGCCAATCATATTACTGTGAGGAGGAACCCAGGTGTATGCATATTCATTACATCAAAAGCCATCCTTTGAAACGCATATGCGTTCACATTCTGAAAAGATTAGAGTCACTTTAGTACCTATTCCTGGGCGGTGCCTTACATTTTCCAAGCTGCGAACAACCCGTTTTAAGCGTTAATATCGGTCGTCAACAATGTCTAAAAAGATCTTTCAGGCGCAGAATATTAGAAAATGCCGTATTCCATGTTGACATTCTTAAATACGACCTTTAGGTAGTGTTCGTTACCTTTGTCCGGCTTTGAAGTGCAGACGCGTGTGTCTTGCAACAGTTCGCATTAGAGTGAGTGTTTTTGGAAAATGGCTGTCACCTATGCGTACTAAGTGACCAGCTTCAATCTCGGCTTCATAAAGAGGGACTTGCCACTCGAAATTTTTATCCGTCTACAGGAGAAAGGTATCAGGTATTCTTGATCACGCCGATATTTTCGGTGTCTGATGCAGCCTTTTTTCATGGAAATATCTCAAACAATATGTATACCTGCCAGAGATTCTCGAAATCATACAAGAGAGATCGCAATACATGTGCTTGACAGACACTGATTTTAGTAGTTTTGTTTTGTATGATTTCACCCTGAGCAAGGCAATAAAGCTACTAGGACACAAAAGATTACTAAGTGTTAGAGAATATGAGAAAAAAAACTCCTATCAAAAAGAGAGGACAATAGAAGAATAAGAATTAAAATGACAGACGATAGCGATTGGCATTCCATTTACATTTTTGAAGATCAAAGATGACTGGGAAGCGAGAAGCCAGAAGAGAGTTCCACAAGCGAAAAGTGCAATAGAAAAAACTGCTAACATTTAACGTGCGGTTAGACAATTCTACTGTTAAATGGCGAGACCGTGCCGCCAATCCAGTACTGCGCTTAAATTTATAAATTCTAAGTATCATAGAAGAAAGTACATCACAACAATTACCATGAAAGTATTTATAGAAAAGACACAGGGAAGCTACTTTACGAGTTGGGGCCAAGGGACAGAAGGTGAGATGCTCTGTCAGAAAAAAGAAAAAAAAATTGCTGATTTTTCTTTAGATTTTCTCAAGTATTTCTAAATATATAGCAGAAGCACCAGACCAGAGGTGGCAGGAATATTCAAAGCAAGTAGTTTTATTTTTATAATTTCACCGCAAGCAAGGAAATAAAGCAGCTAAGACGGAAGATGTTGCTGAGTGCAGAAGCATATATTAAAAAGAAAACATTATTAAGTAAAGAAAACAATAAAAACACAGGAATTGGACAGAAGAGAACGATTGACATTGCATTTAATTTTTTTGTAGATCAAAGCTGACTGGGAAGGAAGAAGCCGGAGTATGGTTCCACAAGCGTGAAACGTGAGAGAAGAAACTGTTAGCATAGAACTTACGGTTATATCTAGCCATTTCAACTATAAAATGATTAAACCATGCTACCTATGTAGTACTGCACTTAAATTCATAGTCTAGATACCATAGAGGAATGTTAATCAGAACAATTACCACAAAGTATTTATAGAAAAGGTATAGGGGACTACGTTACGGCGGTGGGAAGTGGAGATGCCCGGCCAAGACCTGTCATATTGTAGATTCTTATTTGAATTTCATCAAGAATCTTTACACTAAACCTGCCTACTATAGATTGTGTTCGGATGAGCACCGGTATTTAAACGCGATATGGACGGAAGTTTTTTTTGTTTTTTTAAATTTCTGTTGTTTTTTTTTTATTATCCCACATCATTCATTATAGATATTTCAGGATGTATTACTCTAGGATAGACAATGCAGTCTGCTTTGTAAACTTGTACTTCGTTTTTCATGAGAAGTGAGAATGTTTCAGAGGGAAAAACATAAGATGTGTCGACTTGTAATCAGAAACATGCAGTTGCAATTTCTTTTTTCTCTTTTTTTTTAAGCATTTCACCCCTAGCAAGGCGGGAAGCCACTAGCACGCAAAGGGTTACAGAGGATTTGGAGCGAGGGCAGATAGAAGTGATAGAGGAAAGGATGAGGAGAAGGATAATGGATAGATCAATTCAACTGGAGATGTCGATTACATTTGAATAGTTGGAGATTAAAGCTATCAAGGAAACAGGAATAGGGAAGGGAGTTCCACAGGCGAGAGGTGCGAGACATGAAGCTATTGGAGTAGAAGAGGCGGCTACATTTAACAGTGAAAGGTTGAGAGCGGGATGCCAGCCTTGTAGGACGCTTGAATTCGAGAAGTCTGGGAACCAGCGAAAGCAGCTTATCGGAGCAATTGCCATGAAAGTATTTGTAAAAAAGACAGAGAGAGGCGACGGCACGTCTGTGAGAGAGCGACTGCAGACGAGATGGAAGATCAGGGCCAATTACATTGGATATCCGTCTCTGGATCTTATCAAGAACCCCGAGGCAAACAGAAGGGGTTCCGGACCATATATGGCAGCAATAATCCATGCAAGGGCGAATGGTTGATTTGTAGATTTGAAGGATCGATTCTGGGGAGAAAATTTCCTGGCGCGGCACAGGGAGCCAATTTTTCTTGCGGTGGACGAAGCAATTGACTCCATGTATTTCTTCCATCTCAGGTCAGTAGACAACGTGAGACCGAGCAGCCGCAGGGAGGCGCTCTCGGGAAGTTGTGCGTCAGATAGTCTAATGTGGGGTCAGGGAAGGTTCTCTGTGGTGATTAATAGAGAGCAGTTTTGTTTTGGTGGCGTTACAGTTAACCAGCCAATTCCTGCCCCAGCCAATTCTTGCCTCAGTTCACAACCGATTGGAGGTCCTTTTCGAGACGAACGGCCAGGTTAGTTTTGTCAACGACACTAGATTTGTTTTTCAGACAGGAGTAAATTGTAGTTTCGTCCGCGTAGATGCTCACGAATACAAAATATACGGCATGAAAGATTTAACACTCACAAGACAAATGGCAAACATCAATATCCCAGGCTACTTTGTGTAAATAAATGAGAGAAAATAGACTAGAAATAAGAGATGAAAGAATTGTTTGAAGACAACAATTTACATAAACTACATCCTGTACAGATAGGCCATATAAATATTATCAGACTTTGTAAGTAGATGAAATAACTATTTACATTGAACTAACTGCTCACCGCATCTTTGTTGCCACATATATGACGTTTCGACCGTTGTACACTCACCTTCAGGGGGACTGGAATTTCGAACCGAAACCTATATTTTGAGCAACGGGATATATTGGTCCATCTGACCTTGATTTATGAGTTCAATAATGGCCACAGCAGAGATGAAGAATAACTTGGAGAGTTGAGTTAGTAAAGGGAATTAACTGAGATATAAAAAAAGGCATGGCATGTGGAATGAGAACAATTTACCCCATTTGACTGAATAAAGGATTCGGTTTGTAATTCCAACCTGAAGAATGGTGGAGCGTACAACGGCAGAAACTTCGTGGCACGTGGCAACAAAGACGAGGACAACAGTACAAATAATGTAAATAGTGTAAATAATAACAATACCTCATCTCAGAAATATAGACAGATTAAATAACGTCGATATAGATTTTACATTTCAAAGAGTGGAAACAAAAGGGAAAAGGTGAACATGCCTGATAAATTCATGTAAATGAAGGAAAGAACGGAGACTAGCAGCGATAGATGTGGACAAATATTGCTTAGAGATAAAATTATAGAAAGTTTTGGAGAACCATGCTCGTTTACGTACTGAAAGGTTAGGGCATATAAAATAAAATAAAAAGTTGAATAAAATATTATTGTTTAAAAAA